CCACTGCACTCCAGTCTGGGCGACAGAGTGAGACTCCAACTCAAAAAAAAAAAAATGTAACTTTATTTGATAGTTGCGGGGTACAAGGGAAGATTTACACATAAGTAGGCTGCATGCAGGTAAAGTCCAGGCTTCTAGCTGGCCCTTGTCCTTCTACCCCCAATAGTGGACCAAGTACCCACTGTGATGCTGTGCCCCCTCTCTCTGGCTTCTAGCCATGCCCTTTCATGCACATAGACTAGAAAATGCAAACAATTTTATTCTTCAAATATGTGAATATTTATCAGGTAACAGGCATAAGCTTCTAGGGGGTGTGGGAGATGTGAACTCTCCAGGTCTCATAATCAAAGATAGACTGAACCATGCTCAAACAGGTGCAATGCAAAACGGGCTGTGGTCATTGGAATACCAACCAAGCCAGTGAAAGGAGAGGGGAGCAAGAGAGAAGAGAGAAATGAGTTGTCATTTGGGAGGGGACACTTTGTAAATATGAACACCTTTTATAATATCAAAGTATTTGTCTTATATGTAAAGATTTTGGAAACAAGACAAGAATAGAATGGTAGAATTTAAGTCGGGTGTGGTGGCTCATGTCTGTAATCCCAGCACCTGGGGAGGCTGAGGTGGAAGGATTGCTTGAGGTCAGGAGTTTGAGGCCAGCCTGGGCAACACAGTGAAACCACATCTCTACAAAAAATGTTTTTAAAAAAATAAACCAGACATGGTGATGTGTGCCTATAGAAGCTACTCAGAAGGCTGAGACAGGGAGGATTGCTTGAGCCCAGGGGTTCGAGGCTGCAGTGAACTATGATTTGCTACTGCACTCCAGCCTAGACAAAAGAACTAATATATTCACTAAGTCTCTTCCATAGTTTTTATGATACCATGGGATCCCAGTAGACTGACTGATATTCTCCTCTTCTAAAGCAGAAGTATGGATGCCTTCTCAGCCCTACCCTGGGCTATCAAGCACGGACTTCCCTCAGCTTCCTAATGAGCAGCACTCTTGAAAGGGCACAGAAACCCACATATGTCTGTTTCTGACACCATCACTCACCACAACTCTACCTACCAGGTGCCTCAGCTATGTTCTAAAGATATCCTATCATTCTCTACAAAGCTGCCTATCTGTTAGATTCAGCAGAGGCATGACTTGCTTTTAAACCCAATCAGACAAAAACAGCACAAACAATAAAGTCCAGAAGTGATCAATTTTCTGATAATACACTGTTATTCCCAATGAGCTGATCTTTTAAATGACTTAGAATGGACAAGTGAAGCCCTACAGGCTGTTTTTTTCATGGAAAGCACACAAAGCCGGGCTCGGTGGCTCAGCCTGTAATCCCGCACCTTTGGGAGGCTGAGATGAGTGGATTGCCTGAGCCTGTGGGTTCGAGACCCGCCTGGGCAACTTAGCAAGACCTCATCTCTACAATAAATCAAAAAATGAGCCGGGAGTGGTAGCGCACGCCTGTAGTTCCGGCTACTTGGAAGGCTGAGGCGGAAGGATCGCCAGAGCCCAGGAGGTCGAGGTTGTGGTGCACTCCACTCCAGTCTGGGTGACAGAGTGAGACTCCAACAAGAAAGAAAGAAAGAAAGAAAGAAAGAAAGAAAGAAAGAAAGAAAGAAAGAAAGAAAGAAAGAAAGAAAGAAAGAAAGAAAGAAAGAAAGGAAGGAAGGAAGGAAGGAAGGAAGGAAGGAAGGAAGGAAGGAAGGAAGGAAGGAAGGAAGGAAGGAAGGAAAGAAGGAAGGAAGGCAGGCAGGCACATGAGTCGGTACAGAGCATGCATAATTATAGCCAAAAATGACTTTCAATATTTAATCAACATACTTTACATGTTGCCTTCACTACAATGCAGATGTTAGATGTTCAGACAGCGTTCTGCCAGAATTTTTACAGCAATACACACATACTCTTCTCTTCCTTGGTCTAGCCTCCAAGGCAACTAATACCACATCTTCAAATACATGGTTTAGACCTTTCTGTGTGACTTAAAGTCGCCTCTAGTTTATTAGCTTATCTGTCTTGGGTAAATGTCTCAATAGCATGTTTTAATTCTATAAAATCACTATAGGATCCTTTCACATTACAGGATCTCCTGGCAATATGTACATTAACATAAAAGGTAAAAATCTAACTAACAAAGTAGCGTCATGAAGTCAATATTTCTTTTCCAAGAAGTCTCTGCCATTACTTTTGTCTTTATTTTTATTTTTTTGAGTCTCACTCTGTCACCCAGACTAGAGTGCAGTGGCCGCTCCCGGCCACTGCAGCCTTG